TAGCCTATTGTAAGTGCTAATAATAACCTTTAACTTTAACCCACCATTCTGTACCATTAATTACATTACTGTGCCAGAACACCCAATCCCACTAGCTTGCTCTGTCAGTGGACAATGAGAGACAATTTAGAGTCCTTGGCAGCAAGCTCCTGCTGTGGGGGAGACCTCTCCCTGGAAGCATTCAGGCTGGCTAATGCTCTTAGACCGTGATCCTGCTGTTCATGTGGGGCTGTCTTAGTAACATACATAGCGCTTTTCTAGTTGACCACTCAACGCATTATACAACACATTCATGTGTAACCTGAAGCTAATTGCAAGTTAATGCCTGTTTTAAAGACTGTTAACAAACAGCATGGCAAACATATAGAAAATATACTAACAGATAATGCCAGGGGAACAGAACACTGACGGAAATCATAAATCAGCTCAAACAGATGTTCTACAGGGTACACAAATTCAAGGTTTTAATAGCATTTCTATTTTTAGAATAAAGGATTGATGCAATGCATTGTTTGATTTCATTTTCAAAACTTAAAAAAAAGATATAAACCATATTCATTTTGACTGGAAAATGTTGATTTGTCAATATTATTTTGCAAGTAATGAAATCAGATCAATAGAATAGTCTTGTTTTGCTTTGGTGGGGAAAAAAAGCCAGGAAACATTTTCACAGGAAAGGGAAAATTCAAGGAGTCAATATAATGGGAAATAAATTCACAGACATGGGAAAAGATCCAAATAAACTAGAACATTTGCATTTCCTGAAAAATGTGTGTGTGATTGCTGCATCTGCACTACACAATTCAGAACAGGTTTCATGTGTGGATGTATTGCTTAAATGAACATCGTTCTTAATCATACAATCTGTCATTTTAAGGTTCATTTTCAGTACCAGGTCTTTTAGCCTCAGATCAACTGGATGAAATCTTATTTTAAAACCAGTTTGATTAAAATGCTTGCTCAATTTTCATAGTTTCCCTTGACTAAGACCAATCAACCAATCGAGTTTAAGTCAACTAAAAATGGACTAAACATAAAAGGATGAGGTTGAGTAGATATGACTAAAACTAGGACTAAATCTGAAAATAGCAGACAAAATTCACACTGATTT